ATAATTTAAAGGCAAGTGTAATACTTGTGAAGTAGTAACCTTAATGTTAACTGTATGTAATAAAAAGACATTCTATTGGAAATAATTATGTAATGTATATTGCGAATAATAATTTAAGGTATATGTAAATATGCTTTTTACCTTATTATTATATTGAAGAACTATAATGTTATGTTATCTTGTCGTAATAGTGGTCTTATTATTAAATATAGATTAATATTATTGACCCAAGAGACATATAGATAGCAAGTATTTTTTTTTTTTAGCCTCGTGACAAAGTTGATAATTTTTGTTTCTATTTTGTACAAGTATATAAATATATATATATATATACATACCTATATATTGGATTGCTTTTTGAATTAATTAGGTAACTATTCCTATAATAATCGTGATAACTTTAAAGCTTTGCTTAGTGTTATCTCAGCCTGCAAGTTTTTGGCTCAACAACAAACCAGAGGCATAGTTAAGTGGGGCAGGGGGCATGTGTACCTTGGCGCCAGACAAGTTGAAGGTCTTAAAATATAAGTTGATGCTATTTTATTAATTACAAGAATAAATGACCCGATATTATCGGGGTAATGATAGGTTCTTTGCGTAAATGTCTAAGTGCTCTTGCAAAAGATTTTCAAAATTCATAACTTTAAACATAGAATGCTATTTACATTTCTAGTATCACTAAGTTTTGAGAAGTAATTATCTGTTATATAATATAAGCCTACCTTTCTCCCTTTCACGCTCCTAAACTACTTTTTTCCCCTCTAAACATGAACTTAAAATATCCAGTCTAACTTATCACTACTTATATCACTTTTGTCACTAAAGGTGTTAATTGAGGGACAATTACTACCTTAGAGAAATACTTTAGATTTAACCCCTTTTCGTGAGCTTGGATTATAACCTTTCTCTCTAAAAATTGTTTAAAACAATAATCTACTAAACTAATAGACTAATTTAAATCAAAAACTAAATATATATGATATAAGTATAGTTTCTATGACAGGAATTCGATATATATTGATATCTTCATCAGAAATTTAAACAAATTATATATTATCACAGACTCGTAAAACAAAGAATTATTTTATCTAAAGAAGAATCTCGCAACCATTTTTCATGCCTAAAACAGACGTGAGTATCATTTTAAAAAAATGTAATTGTTCATCTCATAAAAATACACACGTATTTACTTTTTGCAAAGTAAAAACAAAATTACATTTTCATTTTTTGCAATTAAATATTAACCCATTTCTATTTTCAAAATTACTTTTTAAAGTGTAAAAAATGATTGGTTTTGATATTTAAGGGTATGCTTATATAAATGAAACGCCGTTGATTTTCTTAAATGGTAAAAATATGTTTTTTTGCAAAAAGATAATTAAAAATCTATTTTTTCACAAGTGTAATATCATATGATTTAAATATATTGTCATCCACTTAAAAAAACGTACGCATACTTTTTCCTACCATCGATATGAATGTACCCAAGGAGGCTAATTATTGATCAAATTCATTCATTCTTTTATCTTGTATTGCCATGGACAAAATGAAATTACCCATATTTTTAAATTGAGAATGTAACATCTCTTTTTTAAGGGAATACCATGGGAGTTAACGATGTTGTCATCCACCTAAAACTATACACATCTTATTTCCTATCTCCGACATGTATTTACCCAAGAAAATTAAAGATTTATCAATCGCATTCCTTTGTTTTGAGACGTATCTTGTTTTTAGAGAAAAATTTTAATTCAAGGGCACAAACAGGGTTGCATCTCAAGTATTTCTATAGCGTAGTAATGGTCCATCAATTTACTTCATTAGTGACACTTGTTATATAAATAGTGATGATTTAAACTGGGTATTTTAAGGTGATGATTAGAAGAGAAAAAAGTAGTTAAGAGCGTGAAAGGGAGTACGGTAGGCGTATATTATATAGCAGATAAACACCTCTCAAAATTTACTGATGATGGAAACTTAAAAACCATTATATTTTTAAAGTTATGGATTGTGATGATTTATTACAATAGCAGTTAGACATTATCGCAAAGACCTACCCTTATGATAACATCGGATTATTTATTCTAGTATTGCCTTGGGCAATATGAACTTACCCGTTTTTTAAAAAGAGAATATAACATATTTTTGCATCAATAAAATCCCATAGAGGCTAACCATAGTGTCATCCAAGTAATCATGTAGACATCTTAATTCCTACCACCTACTTGTATTTACCCAAGAAGATAAATTATTTATCAAATCCATTCCTTTATTTTGAGACAAATCTTGTGCTGTCTTGGTCAAATTGAACTTATACATATTATCTTTTTCACAAATGTAATACCAATGGATGTAAATATATTGTCAACAAGAAGAAAATGTAAACATCCTATTATCTACCTTTGATATGAATGTACCCAAGAAGGTTAATTATTAATCAAATGCATTCCTTTATTTTAAAACATATCGTGTGCAGCCTTAAGCAAAACGAACATATATATTTGTGAAAAGAGAAAGTGACATACCTTTTTTTCCATAAATGTAATGCCATAGGATTTAAATATATTGTCATTTTAGTAAAAATGTACACATAATATATCCTACCTCCGATATGTATATACCAAAGAATGTTAATTATTTATCAAATTCATTCCTTTATTTTGAGACGTATCTTGTGCTGCCTGGGGCAAAGTGAACAACCACTTCCCAGATTTAAATTAATTTAGAAAATCTTTCACCGGATTGTAGTCCTCTCCACACCCAAACTAACATATTTTGCACTTCATATATTTCGTTCTTATATGTATGGATTATAAGTGGATTAGTGAATGCTATTTGGCTATGGAAGTGCGCTGCACTGATTGGCTTAAACTGCATTTTCTTATTAAAATTATATTAAAAGGTTAAAATTTATTACATTATAATTTTAATACAAGTATATTTTTAGAATAAAAAAATGTAAAACTTTTTAAATGTTAAATTATTCAAAGCTAAATTGTGTGTGTGGTTTATTAACAATTCTAAAAGCAATCAATTGTATTTATTAAGTTTACATTTAAAAGGGAAAAAATAAATACATTATCAGTTTTGTCAAGCACGGTTATTAAATTTAAAGAAACCTAAGAGTTTTGGCAAAATAGGCTTTTCACGCTATGACGACATTGGCGTGATTATTGAGAACAAATTAATTTGAATTTTAATTCGCAATATTAACAACGCGCTAAAAGACGCACTAAAAACTACTGATGTCTGGGTTTTCCTGATTAATGTGATTAAGGTGTAATTCTTTAAGCATGATTTTTTTATTCATAACTTTCAAACACATATAAAATGCTTAAAATAGTTCCTTAGTTGATACTTTAAATGTATTGGTAATTTATAATAATATTTAAACTTTTACTAAAATAAAAGCGGATTTAAATAATTTTTTGCACATTTAAATGTATTTTTTTTTCTGTAAAATATTAGAATATAACTATGATTGTTTTTAGGAATCCGAACGTACTTAAAAAGTATCTGAAATTTGGCGTTATTTGAACGTAGCTCATTCTTATATATATAATAGGGGTTTCAGTGTTGAAAAAGAAAGGGAGAGTCTTTAAAAGGAATCTTGTATTCGGGCGCTAAACACTCTAGGTACGCCTCTGCAAGAAACCACTTGGTTTACCAAACTGATTAGAATGCCTCTCAAATAACAAACGGGACTACGTATTATCTTTGAATATAATCTTGTTGTGACTTTGATGGGATCAACAAAAATAAAATATGATAGTAGTTTATAAGCGATGGGACACGGCTTTGGTTTTTTAGGTCGAAGAACGTCGGAAACAATAGTGTTGTTGAGTGTTTTAAAATTCTTTTTTATTAGATGTTTGGTAGAATGTTGGAATAACAAGAGAGGGCTGGCTTGGGGTTAGGTAGTAGGTTTTGTAAAAGGAGGTGTGAGGTGATAGATAGGTAGCAGTAGTAAATAGACGACAATATTGGTAAAAATCGATTATAAGAGTATGGTGCAAGGTAAAATAAAAATGTAATTAAAAGGCAGCAATACATTTAATCAAGAGTTCGCAGTGAATGATTGATTTTATAAAAAGAGTGTTTCATAGTGGTAACTTCTCCTAAAGGACGAAACATGTGTGCGTCATAAATTCATCAACTTCAAAGATGTCTGGATATTTACCTTAACTCCCTTACCAACTAGAATGTCCCCTTACCTTTTTAGCAGATTCTTTAAAATGGTTCATCATTCAAACAAATAAATGCAGAAGCTATGCAAACACATATATCGTTTTGTAGAATGTATGAATAGTAGTGAAGCATAAGAATATGTTCTAGTTATTTGTTATAGAGGTTTTTTTTTTACATATTTTTTCTCGTGCGTGCCCTCTGATTGACCCCGCATGAGACGCTGTGTTCACATAGGGCTCTGGCTTAGTCCTTTGATCTATTCGTGCTTATGCCGCCAGCTACTAAAAATAATGAATCTGTTCCAAGTAGTATTTTGTAGAAGGAATGTTATTGTTCTAGAAACGTCATAAGTTTTCTGGAAGGCAGGGCTTACGTGACCTATATACGGGATTGACAGGCACGGACGGAGTGACGGAGATTCAGATAGATTTATAACTTTACGAGGCGTGTTTTATTCTTTGTGTATTTGTAAGCTTATATGTGTTATTTTGCCTTATTCATTGGCACATTATTCTAACTGTATTAACTGTGTACCGGTACAAGATCTACCATACTGTAAGTTGAAGATTGTAATTATATTTTCTTTTCTTATTATCTAAAGACTTAATAAATCTTAATAATTGTAACTAGAAACTGTTTTGGTTCGTATCTTTAATATTGTTGACTCTATGGTATCTTCCTTTTTTTTGGCACTGTTTACAACGAGCCAATTAAAATTAAAATTGGAGATTAATTTATCCCAATAAAAGTCATTGCGTAACATTATTACATAAAAAAGTTGTCAATATTGTATTCATAATTTTGTCTTCATC